GAACCCCGCCTCCTGAAAAGTATCGTGTATCACAGAGCATCTCTCCACAGATCTGAGCAAAACTGATGTCATCCATGTCCAGAAGGGTCCGATCTGTCACCAAAAATAAAGACGAACAAACTACTGAAGAAAAAAGGACCCTCGCTCATGTAGGATGTACTCACTGTTGTTGCAGCTCAATTAATCAAACAGTTTTAGAAATGAATTGGCTACGTTCTTCTAGGCCTTTGTTGAGCCATAAATAAAACTGTATTAAACAGGAAGGGATTTGTTGATTATAGATTATTACTGAAAACATCAAAACTATATAAAATAACACATATGGAATTGTGCGGTAAACCAAAAAGATTTAAAGCCCTTCCTCTCCTTGTGAGAACACACAGACACATTGCACAACTCATCTCCAACATATCGTGTGTGTGTGTGTGTGTGTGTGTGTGTGTGTGTGTGTGTGTGTGTGTGTAGAAATACCACAGTGTAAAAATACTTTTTGATATTAATACTTTTGTGTCCTGCATGCACAAAAGTATTATCAATTTAAAGTACCAAAAATAAAAGCACTCATTGTATAGAATGGCACTTTTAACATTAATGTAGTTCATATTACTGGATTATAATTAATGATGCATTTGATTAGTATTAAAATCAAATGTATTTTATTATGTATTATTTTGTTTATTTCTTTCTCTCTTTATTATTTAATTAATTGAATTTATTATATTTAATTTCAGAGTGATTCTGTTATAAAAGGATAGTTGTACCAAAGGTATTAGACCTTGGACTTGTTGTATATTATTCATAGACTCAGTTTCTTTCATATTTTGTAACAAGGCATCGGCTCTGTCAAAATAGATGCCAGTCACAATTTGAGAGGTGCTGGATCCAGATCCAGCTTGTTCCAGCACAAATGAACCCCTGGTCCTTCCTCTTTCCCACCTGACCTCCACCCTCCTGTGACTCTCCTCAGTATGTACAAGGCATCTGCTACGAGAAACTGTGTCACTTCCTTCAGAGTGTCCTGCACCTGGACGGCAAAAACAAACTATCATTTTGTTGTCTTTTTCACCTTTCTATTTAAGCCAAGACCTGCTGTTTGTTGCTTTAAAAGGAACTAGATGGCTTATAATTCATCACACTGAACAGCACCTGACGTGAGAATACTGATTTGTTACTGCAGCTGATAAGGATCTCCTAGGAACAGCGGATGGAAAAAGTGGGAATCGAGTGTTGAAGGCCTTGAGTCAGGACTATGCTTATCTGCTGGTGTGTCTATACGTATATCAGATTGCAACAAACTTGCTGAACCACCCCCACCCCCCACCCTTACGGTTTCACAGTGGTGGATGTCAGCTGCCAACAGTTGATCCAAACAGCTTTCTGCTCTCTATTGATTCTGTGTGTCAGATTAACTTAGTGCCAGCACAAAAAGCTGTGAAATTGATTCCTTGACATTTAGAATTTTCATCTGTTAGTTTTCTTTACCTGCATGCTCATCATAAACTACCTTTCTGAATTGGGTCTTTTGAGACAATTATAATTTGAGCATTTATGTTTAAGCTAATGAGCTATTTGATGACCCACAATACTTTGCATTCATCAGTGACACGTGGGGGGACAGTTACCTGTAGGAACCATATGATGACAGGAGGCCAGTTGTACTGAAATCCCTTCTGCGGTGATCCACTTTGGACTCAAGGATGAAGTGATTAGATTTAGATTTTTAAGGGTCAGTGACCTCATGTCTGTTCATTCCCATGGATTTGACTGGTTGGCAGAGGCAGACAACCAGGAAGCCGTAATTCTAGTTAACCTTTACTTCATTGGTTTCTACAGTTGCCCTGATGTGCAAAACACAAAACATGACAGGAAGACAATGCACATAATTCCTCAAAACAGCTACACTGTTCAAAGTTCTTTATTGTCGTTGTTATAACAACAAAACAGCAAAACATCTCCAGACTGTAAAAACAAGTGGTAAATAATACTCAGTGCTAAAACGCATTATATATAATAATAAATAATAATAAGGCACATCAGCTGGTGGTGCCATGATAAAAAGTTCTGACATTATGTCAACCCAGGATGGGGGCTAGAGAAGCTGTTAAGGCAGTATTACAGCTTGTAGTATGAAAGTGTTGAACAGGGTGTGAGGAGTCTGAGTGTCTGATGAGAACGTTTCAGGCAGCAGGAGGCGGAGATGGTGTTGATATCTGCCAACATAACTCCAGTGATTTCCCTGGCAGTTTTAATTATCCGCTGTATGGCCACTTGCTCTGACTTGTGCAGCTGAAAAACCACACTGACATACAATATGTCAGGACACTTTCAATGGCAGAGTGATAAAGGTTTACCAGTAGCTTCTGTTGCAGCTTTTCAGTTTCCCCAGGTAGAAGAGGCGCTGTTGGGCCTTCCTGATTACAGAGCCTGTGCTGTTGTCTCAGGACAATTCCTCCATCACAGTCAGGCCCAGGAACTTGTCGTGTGCAAGGTGGCAAAACTGGCAACAAACACTAGACCTACTGGACTTTAAGGCTGGATTCACATTTAAAACAGGAGGCGAGTCAATGAAATATGATGCAGGATGCGTTTAAGACCTGTTAGACTCTAAAACACAGCACAGTAGATTGTAATACTCAGACAGGCTTGTAAAAGTCTAGAAAGTTTTCAGAGCAGCAGCTTTCTCAAGTTAAACCACAAGAAATGCAGCATTACTAAGCAATCCACCAGAAATATGAGTGTCTTTGGTAAATGTTCCTATAATTTTTCCATCATTAATTGACTATTGACTTTTTTAAATCATGAATTTTGCAGGAATATTTAATATACTATCAAGTGAGACAGTGGTAGGAGTTGATGGTTTTTCAGAGTGGAGTCTCCCCTATAAAGCCAAATAATATATATTGCAATAAATGATCTCTAAAATGTAAACCTCTGTTGTGCAGGTTGTCTGTGTGTATGCTTGTTTGCACGTGTTCAGTACATTTTGGGATGAGTGTTGAACAGCTCCGTTTGTCTGAAATGAATCTACAGGATTGGTTATGTTTCAAACTGCAAACTTCAACATTACACTATTAAGAATAGAAACTGCCATTAATGTAGTCAGATGTACAATCAGAGCTACTTTTATTCATCCTCTCACTAGCAAATTAATGTTAAGTGTTACTGTGACTTTGGTTGTTGAAAGCAATTTTCCCCCCTACGTTTTTTCTTCTTCACTCAGCAGAAAGGAAGATTCATAAGGACTCCATGATGAATTCAGAGAACTCATCTAGCTTCCACTATCGCCCTCTGGTGGCATGATATGATATTGAACAGTTACTATATCAGAGGTTTGCAATATACAAGGCAAACAGATCGAACACCAGTATTTTGTTGCTCACACTGGAACGATTTATAATGTTAAAAATTGAGTTTGAAAGTTTCTCTGTGTGTAAATTAAAACAACAAAACTATTTGCCCATAATGTTTAACATTAAAAATCATAGACCTGTTTTTGGCAGTGTTTCAAGTGAGTTCCATTATATTCATTCATATTTCAGGAACCCATGATAAATTTCCATTTCTGAATCACTTGCTTAGCTTCCTATGAAATTTTCTACAAAGAGCAAACATATGCAACCTAATAGTCCAGGAACCTTTCTGAGAATTTACACTTAAATACTAGCTCCTTCCCAAGTTAAGAGGAAAGTAAAGGAGCATTAAAATATAACATTGCCTATATTTTTACAATCTGCTAACTAATACTGCCAAAACCTAGTTACACATGTTCAAGATTACATTACTATCAGATATTATCTTTGAGGTCACTGTATTAGCAGGTAAGCACTGAAAGATATTTTTCCCAGTTCTCTTAACCAGGAACTCAGAGAGGCGAGGCGGTCCAAGTGGATACAAAAAACCGTGCTGGTTTATTCAAAGGATCACAGGCAAAATTAACATTACACGTCCAGGCATCTTCCACCTCCAATACTGCACGCAGGCAGATGAAGAATGAAAAGCCCCGAACCCAACAGGCCTGTACATTATATCTG